CCGGCGCGGGGCCTGGCGGGGCCTCGACGTGGGGCGCTCGCTCGGAGCCGGGCGACCGCTCAGCCCCGGCTCTTATAAACCGCTCCGAGAGGGCTGGCCTCGGGAGCCAATCAGCCCCGGGCCGGCTGCCTCCTCCACTCCCACCGCGGGCTCCCCTTCCTTCCTCTCTCCCTCCCCCCTCTTGCTCACTGTCGCAGAAGAGCCTCCTCCCCACCAGGGCCCTCGGAGAAGAGCTTCGGGTTGTTCCAGGGGGTTCAGACTCTGCTCGCCCATCCTCAGCGGCCTTTCTGGAGGTGCAAGAGATGGGCTGGGGAAGACCCAGATGAGTCCTTTGGTAGATGATAGAGCTTGCATCAGGGACCTTCCTCGGGGCAGTTCATATCCTGTGCCTCAGTTTCCCCGCTAGGATTTAGAAAGTTGAATTTGGTGATCTCTGAAGGCCCATCCTATTCGTTCCCCAGCCCCCAGCCCTCCAAGAAAATTCAGCAAGGAACAGCTTCTTGGATCTTAAGAGTCTGGGTTCTATTATGTTTCCCAATATACCTTCCTGAAGTATTTTGGGAGACTTAGAAAATTCCAGAACCCCCTTCCCAAATCCCTGTTTCTGCATCTTCAAAGTGGCTTTGAGCAAGGCAAGTTTTGAACGTGGCAGCAGAGAGCCTAGAGACACGAATTCTAAGAAAGAAAGAGAGAAAAAAGAAAGAGTGAAAGAAAAAGAAAGATTGATTTCCAGGGCTTTTTCAAATCTTCTATTCCGAATTGTGTCCCTTGGTGAGAAAATAAAAATATTAACATCACTCATGAATTCCGATGTATCTTCAGAGGGAAGGAGATGACCAATTTAAACACCCATAAAATTCAGGATGTTTCCACTTTTTTATTAATACTTTTTCGCTTTGTGTCCTCTTCTGCCTAGTTCATTAATGGGCACTTCTATAAGTAAGATTTGCCACAAATGTCACATCTCTGAGTTATCAAAGCATGTGATCTAAATCAAACACTTAGACCTCAGTATGTGTTGAAGAAGAGTGACCAGATTGGATTTTAAAATTACCCATACAAATAAAATGATCTTTTCCAATTCAAAAATGCCTTTAGCATTTATATGTGTGTATATCCAGTTTGATGGGGTGAGGGCAATTTTCAAATTCCAACATACAGTTAGCTCTAAGTGAGAAATGGGAAGGGGAGAAAGTGTGCCCTCCCTTCCAGAATAGGTGAGCAGCCAAGGCTGTTTGATCTTCTACTCCATGCAGTCCTTGGCCTCTCCCTACTTTTTGTTTGTTAACTTTGGGAAGTAGGTTTGTTTTCTTTTTCTTCTTCTTTATTCAGGAAACAATTCTATATTTCATCCTTCTTATAAATCTTTATTATTTTAAATGGATTATAACATTTAAACCCACAATAACTTTACTGTAATTCCTTCCATTATTTTTAATAAGTTTTTATACAACATGTTTTATGCATGTCTTTTATTCCTTATTTCTTTATCTTGATCCTCAGGTTACAAGAAGATCCCTCAAATCTCTGAATCATGTTCAAGTTTGCTTAGCCCAGGAGCTTCATATATAGGACTGTATACATATTC